CTTACATAAGCTAATCGATGGATTTCCCTTATTCCCGGTAGATTAACTGTGTGTTCAAAAAAGTACTATACTTGACCCAGAAATACATCTATTGAACCATTTTCTTGTATGAATTTTGCAAGAATAAATGAATTATTTAGATATCGAGGTGTACTTGCAGATCCAAATATTTCGGCTCCAATGCGAATATGCTCGAACTGATTTACTTGAGGCTGAACAATAATGTTATCGTCTATATTTCTCTGAACTGACTCAGTGATTGATAAAAATTCCGTGTTATATGCATTATTATAATACTCTACTAAAGTATTATATATATCATTTGGCAATCCAACATCAATTTTTTTAGGTGATAGCATTTCTCCGGAGAAAGGTTCAGCACTAGTAATCGTGTCTTCAACTTCAAGCTATGAAATGACTAAGTTCGTCAAACTCAAATTCATCATAAATTGACAAACTTCCCAAAGTCGCTCTTGGTTGTATAAACTTTAAACTTTTAACAAGTTTCAAATTATCTGATTGTGCCGATACAAGATTATTGAGTTGCCAATTTTGCATGATTATTCGTAATAACTCAGGCTCAATTTGATGGTGACTATTGGGATAGGAACCTAAAAAGAATAACACTTAATTATCAGTACATAATGACTCTCATATAACATAAACATGCAATTAGAAAGAAATTAATAAATGTTGAGAGTTTACAGTATTGCAGCTGATGCTGAAAATTAAAGCTCTTGATTTAAAAATAAAACCCCTACCAAAATTTACTTATACTCTTTTATTATTAAAACTACCACTAAACCCTAACCCAACACTAAAAAAAAACTCTAACAAAGAGCCCTAAAAATTTTTGAAAATTTCATATTAAAATAATTAAGATTTCCAGCATCAGTCACAATATATAGTATTACTGTATCTAAGTTATATTAAGAGTCAATTGGTGTAAACTTACTCAAAACACCATTCATTCTTTCATATGAATAGTACCAGAAAGAGTATACTGGGCCATAATCTCTGCAACATTCGATGATATGAAGAGATAAATGAATGTTCGGAGTAATTGCCTCCGGACCATAATTTTTTTCAATCAGGCGAGCAACTTGTAACAATCGATCTTGTGCTTTATCCAACATATTTTTATCAATAATCCATGCTACTAATAAGAAGCATGCCCTTACAAAATTAGCTAAAATTTTTTTGTTTTCGATATTCAAAAGGTCCCACATTAACGGAATTGTATATATCATGATGAAAGATTTCTATTGGTCAGCAGTAAAATTGGAAAATCCTTCACCTGTCACTATTTTGAATGGGATTCTTCTGATATCAGTTGGCACTTTAATATTTTGTGCTCGTTTCTCCATCAATTCAAGACTGGACTTTGAAATTTTTCCACCTTCAATTAACAGTCTCTTTACAAACCAATGCGCTACACCCAAAAACAAACAATGCATTGGGTCAATTATTAAGTGTGTTATTGGGTTATGGTAAGGTAGGCGAAGCATTTCAGACTATCTTACATGAGTCCTACTAACATGCTTTTTTCTGTTATCTTCTGTCAATTGTTTCTTCCAAATGAGGGCATTTTGACAGTGCTCTATCAGATCTTTTGGTTTAAACCACCTATTCATATCGTCAAAGCCTCCAAAATTTAGTTTTTCATCTTCACCACCTGCTCTTTTGTAACACCTGTTGCACCCAACCAATGCTGATATATGGCCACATAACTTTCTTGCAGCTGGGATGTCATTGCTCCTGCAAAAAAGTATCAGTATTAATAATAAAAAAATTATTATTAGTATTCAGTTTATATAATGATTTTTCAGAGTACAGGTTGCACTGGCTCAATATATTATCACTTTTAAAAAATAATATTCTTTATATCCCAAATGGTGGACAAATTTATATCAGCATTGGAAGATTATTGGATTTGAAAATATTGTAAACTATTAGATTTATACACGGAAATGGACTTAGTAAGATAATTTTTTATTAGATTATTTTACTAAGTCCGTTTTAGCTAAATCTAATATTGTTGAATTTCAAAATTAGTTTACCATCTAATATTATTGAATCTCTCAAAATTAGTTTGCTAAATCTGTTTCTGTTATATAAATTT